TATTGAAATCTGGCGCCAACATTTCTCTGTCCAATAGTCAAAACCGCAGCTCTCTATCATGTTCCGTTCAAAAGTTATTAAAAAAACACTAAGGTCTCTTCTATTTTGAAACGGATAATAGAAATAATTCCATGTGATACGATACCATTAGATACTGTTGAACCTTAAGTTAAATAAAAATTAGTGATTTTTTTTTTCTAAAAGAATAAAAAATTTACCGATGATATATTTTGATTTATTAATTTTAATAATTTGCGCCTGTAAAACATTATTTATTAATTTTAATTCAATAACAATATCACATTGATCATAATATTTTAATTATATATTCAATAAATTTCGCTTTCTTTAATACATACTGTTCGTTTTGAATATAAATCACGTATTTGTTCAATTGAATCATTTAAATCAAATAGAAATGTTATACGTATTGATAAAACAATGTGTAAATCATTTTTATTAATTAATATATTTTCTATTTTTGTTTACTAACAGTTAAATTACCTAATAACAGTTTTTGTTTTATAACATGTTAAAGATTGATTATTTTCATCTTTAGTCTACCATTCGAAATCATGATGATGATGCTTCTCTTGCTCACCGGATGTCAATATTATAATAAATATTTATCTATAATTTAACAAAACAATAGCACATAAGATGTAGAGTTTCTTTTTTAAAGATAATTATTCGTTCAATTGAAAATATAACAATAAAGATACTTTATTAGAATTTAATAAAATTTCTCATAACACTTCCCTGTTGAAAAAAAGATCCTGCTTTGCTACTAGATTTATAAGCAAAGGTTCATAGATGTGTCCGTTTTGATTAACTTCTCCATATAGATAGATATATACTGTTTTCGAAAAGAATTATGCAGATTCTATATTACAGATATTGATTAAATCATATTCTACTAGGTATTTTTTCTAAAGAGACTGAAGGTTAAAAAGCTAGCTGAGACGTCGTTTCTTTTTCTACAACAAGTTAATGAAACAAAAACATTTGTTTAAAACACTTGATGTTTACATATTTATACCTACGCTTTTCGCCAAAATATCCATTCCTACTTTAAAAATAACGTTATTTTGTGAATATGATACAAATACGTATAATGAAAAAGAAAAACACTAATTCTTAAGTTACACAAATCGAATCACTATGGATAAACAAAAAACATTGATACTGAATTGAATTCGTTTGTGTTTAACATATTAGCTCTTTTTTTTCATGGCATGAAATCTCATCCATCATTTTTATGAAATATTCGAACTATTTTATTAATGATAAAAAAAAACAGCATCAGCTATTATTTTTATTTTTCTTCTCTCTATTCAGAAAACAAAATCAACATAATTTTCTTTTTTTTTTGTTCGATAACTTCTTCGTAAAGTAGCCTCAATACTTAATCTTTCAATATTTGAGATCATACTATGTAATTTCAAAAGTTTATGAACTTTTACGAGGGAACTCTGGGACGCATCCATGAATTTTTTTCTTGTTACTAAAAATTTTGTCAGTATAGTGCTTCAAATTATTTTCTACTGCTGTGTTCATATTTGAACAATCTCGTCGCTCTACAGCAACCCATTAGATATTTCATCAGCCATGAACACGATCGAATATCTTATTTCCATAGGTCATCAAAAAAAAAATGAGAATTTTGATTGCAACATCGACAAGACGAATTTACTCATAATCTATTTTACTCTCATCTATTGGTTTTTTTTTTGCTTTCGAATTTGAAATATCAATCGATTCAAAAGTAAGATTAGAAATTGTCGTCTTGTCTGCCAAAAATGTTATATTATATTCTCTAAATCATAAGTACAATGAAATAAATAAACGACTATGTATTAAATAATTCTCCAATGTTAAACTTTCATTTTAATATCAAAATCTGTCGAATGTTTAAATATCAATTTCATTACAAAACGCAAAAGACTTTTATATAGAAGAAGAAAAAAAACACAATCTTCAATTGTTTTTTTTTTCTCTTCATTATTTCTTGTTTAAACTACATGAACAATAAAATATTCGAAATATAATAAGACAAAACGAATAAAACAAACAGCATTATTATCATTTTTTTTTCTGCATTTTAATAGACAAAAAGAAATAAAACAAAAAAAAAAAAAAGAAAAGATAAGTTTTTACATTATACGAACATCAAATTTAAGAAACTCAAGGAATATAATACTCACCGGAGAACTAAAGGAATTTCAATACAAATATTAGAATATACATATAAGCAAAAAGAAAAGAAATGTATATTATATTATTTTTTTTGAATATTTGTACGAATTTGTCGTATAGCATGATCTAATTTAATAAAACCTTCTTCAGCTTGTTGAATAGTTTTTCTTGTTGTACCACGAACTTTTTGAATAAATGTGTTATTTCCTTCATGATCGTCTTCTTCACCACTTGATATTGGTTGTTGTTGATGACAACTTTCATCTTCTTTTGTTTGCTGTGGATGAAAACGAACTGTTGATGATGATGGTGCTTGAAGACAGTCATTTGTTGTTGCTGTTGTTGTTGTTGATGGTGTTCCACCTAATTCACGAATATTATTATAAACAGCTGTACGAACATCTTCAAATGAATCAACATAATGCACTATATCATCACATTGTTTTTCATATGATTCTTGAATAGATCGATAAGCATGTATGAGATTTGAACGTTGTTTTATCCAGTCATTATAATCAACAAATACTTGAACTAAATTTGGATAACATTCATCATTTGCAAAATGAATATATTTTCCATGAAGTTCTTCAAGATTTTTTCGACGACGAAAATGTGAATCACTTTGTAAACGATTATATGTACTTAATAAACGATCCTAAAATATTGATTGTATTCAATGAAATATTAACTCTTTTTTTATGACTTTCGAATAATAATCAAAGTCTTATCGGAACTAATGTTGAACATATGAACTTTAACAAAACATTTATACGATTATCTCATAGTTTACAAAGAAAACTATTGTAATAGAAGATACAGTAACATTTTCCTCGGCTAGTGAGTACTTTACTTTAATGAACGGTCTCAAATTCAGTAGGATAATTTTGTGCTGGAAACGTCTCTCTCGCAGGTTTTTTTATGTAGACGTTCGTAACAAAGATATTCATCACGGCTGCGAGTCTCTCACGATGATATTCAAATTCACTGTTATGACTGCACTGAACTAGAATTATTGTTACTAATTCATGAGATTTATTAAGTGGCTGAGTGATACATTTGTGAACAATGAAAATCTGTGCAAAATCATGCATTTAAGCAGTGTCAATCGTAATGAAGCTACCACCGTCACCATGATGTAGACTAGAGACCTGCGGAGTCAACTTTTTTCATTCCGAAACCCGACTCCGATTCCGAAATCTTTCTTTTTATGACTTCAATTCCAACTCCGATTCCGACTCCGAAAAACTCCGAAATTTTTTAACAATGTCATTTAAAAATAAAACGTTCTCAGCAGCCAAAGGACTCTTTAATGACTTACCATGCGCACGTTTTAGACTAAAAATCTCAAGTTTCTCTTTAAAAAAAAACAGTTTATGGATGTTATCATCTTCAAAGTCGCTTTTTCCCCTCAAAAAAACCTTTTTGAATGCATAAAAAATCCACAGTTTTGCTTCTAAAAACGCGTTTCTGTTACTGATTTTACCGGCCTTGGATGTTCTTCGTCTAAACAAGGAAGAACTAATGATGAAGATAGTCGTAGTACTTTGAATGACATTAATATA